GTGAGAGAGGCAATGGGAATATATAGGCTGATGGAGGGAATTGGACAGAAAGATAGATAGATTAATCTTGAAGAGATTGATGATGAGAGAGCACTGTGACGTGACTTGTGAGAACGAGAGAAGAGTATGAGATGAGAATTTGGTGCCGGTGAGGCTCTGTGAGAATGATGAGTATGAGAGACCTAAGAATGAGAGATACGAGTATGAGAGAGAGAGAGAGATGGACTGGAGACGAGAGAGAGAGGAAAGGATAGGAGAAGCTAATTGAAGTAATGATGAGATCGGGTAAGACAGAACGACAAAAACTGTTGCTTCCTCTGATCTATCTTTTCTGGCATTTGTTTTGATTTTTTAGCTTTTTACCCTATGTTTCTAGTCTCTTTTTTTTTTTACCGCCAATAAGTTTTTTTTTTCTGTTTTTTCTCTTTTTTTAGTTATTGTGCTTTTTTATTTCTTTTTATAGGAGAAACAGTTTTATAGAGAAGATAAGAGGAAGAAAAGAAAAGAGAGAGAGAGGAAGAAAGGATGGGAAAGAGAAAAAGGAAGGACATGAGAGAAGGGATGGTGTGTGGTGAGGAAGGGAAGCAGTAAGAGGGGGGAGAAATATAGAAAGAGAAAAAGAAGACAGAGAGAGGGGAAGGGAGAGAGAAATAATCAAAGAGATAAAGAGATAGGGGAAGAGAGAGACAAATAGAGAAAGAGAGAAAGATAAAGTGATAGACAGAGAGAATGGAAAGGAGAGACAAATAGGGAAAGAGAAGACAACAGAAAGAGATTATATTAGAGGAGGGAAGGAAGAGAGAAATTGAGAAAGAGAAAGATAAAAGACAGAGAGAGAGGAGAGAGAAAAGGAAATAGAAAAAGAAGATATCAGAAAGAGAGAGTGCGGGCTGAAAGGGAGGAGAAATAGAGAAAAAGAGAATGAGAAAGAATGATAGAGGAGGAGAGGTAGGAAAAAAGAAAGAGAAAAGGAGCCTAAGAAAGAGAAAGAAGAAATAGATAGAGGGAGGGTAGAAAAGTCA